AGCTTTTCTCGCCCCGGAGGACACGGGTGGTGATCCACCGCCCGTGAGCTCCGGGGCAAGAAAAGCCCCGTTTGTAAGTGCGGATCTGACATAAGTCGGATCCGCGTAAGTCGGGGACTGCCTGTATGTAGCGAAATATCCAGAGTCTGCTCTGCCAACAGACATCTTCAGAAAGCAATGACGTTTATGGCCTTATATTAGAAAATGAAGAGTTTAATTTCACTTTTACTTAAGGCTCTTTGAAGCAAATATGTCATTGGGTTTAACCACATTTTTATAATTTAGCGCAAAAAATGCACTGTTCTTATAAGTATAAAAGATAATACAGTATGGAAGGAACAGGATGTTAATAACACATGATTTAGCCTTCATATTGAATTTCCTGGATTATGTCAGTTTGAGTGTTTTAACATTATCTTTAAAAGTGTGTGTGTTGCAGCTCCTCCTCCTTCCTTGCCTGTTGCAGCTGCCTCCCAGGGTGCTGACACATGTGCGACACTGCCAGCTCCATGCCACCTCAGCCACCAAACCCCAGCAACCTGCAGGGGGCAGCACTCAGCCCCTTCATGGGATGTATCATGAAAGCCAAGAGGGGCCCACAGGAGACCAGCTGGTTCCCAGCACTACAGGCCATTGCACCAGGTCAGAGTGCCCCCAGCCCTGCGCTGCAACAGCTGCCCACATGTGGGGTGAGTGGGAAGGGCCAGGGCTGCCCAGGTGGCTGCAGAGCCCTAGCATACTCCCCCGAGCTCCCCACTGATGCTGTGGGGAGGGGAGGGGAGGAGCAGCGCATGCGCTTCCCCCTCAAGCCAGATGCAGCATAGAGCCTGGGGGCTTTCTCCGCACCCTCTCCCCTGCAGGAAGCCGGTGCTGGGGCTATAATCTTGGAGGAGGGGGGAGAGGAAGAGGCACAAGACTGGAGCACCACTCAGGCAAGTGGCGGTTCTCTGCTGGGTTGTGGAGCATCGGGGCCCTGGACCTGGAGGTAGAAGTGCCAGAGGCATTGGAGCAGGAAGGGAGCAGCACACAGCATGAAAAAATAAGTCCCCCCCCCCATCATGCTCAGACCCTGCACCCCAGTGCCTCACACCCTCCTCCCCCACCACACCTCCAGCCCACTCCTGGCTTGGAAGGGGTTAGGACTAGGCTGCAGGCAGCAGGAAGAGGAGAAAGGGCCCAGGCTGGCATCTCCAGGGATGAGATGGGGTAGGAAAGAGGAGAAAGGACCTGGGCTGGTGTGGCTGAGAGTGGGGGTGGGGAGAGAAAGGGTAAATCGCCGCTTCATTTTACTATGTCTGGTAGCCTAATCTCCATGCCTCTGGTGACAGAGGCATGTAGTCTATACGTACCCTTAGGTTCTATATTTCTTTTCATCATACTTTAGCACCTGAGTGATACTGCTTAAATGTTGTGTTTTAAATGAAATGCTGCCATCGTGAGGCTAACAAACAAAAAAAAAACCTTACAGTTTTTTCTAGATGTCATGAATATTTATATATAGGAATTTTACAAAAATTACTGAACAAGTTCTTCATCTCAATATAAATAGCTACTTTTATAGTCCATCAGTTAATGGAAATATTACATCATTTAACAAGTGTACAAACACACATGCCCCAGTTCTGCAAAAAAAGTACCTGTCTGGGATGGTGCACTACATAATACTTAGTCCTGACTTACTGCAGCAGAATGGATTAGGTGACCTATAGAGGTCCATTTCAATCCTACAATTCTGAAATTCTGTGTGCTTAACTTCAAGCACATAAGCACATGTTTAAGTCTTTGAATTTTAATGATGAATCAGGAACTAACATATTGAGAATTTATATTGTCCGAATAAAAATTGCTGAGGATGTCATATAAATTTATCTGAAAATGAAACTGGGAAATGTAATTTATTTCAGCAAATATTTTGGATAAATTGCATTAAGCTGCCTGCAGGGCATTACTCACATCAACATTTACATTAATGTTCCCTTTGCTTCCTCAGATTGCCCTGAAATTGCCCTGGCTAATTGTGCTTAGAAAAGAGGTCACATAATGCATCAGAAGGAAGCAAGGCTGGAATGAAGACTGGATCTGATAACATGGTATATTTTTTCATTTAAAATATAAGATAGGGGTTCCTTTTTAGTACTCTATGCCCATGATTGTATACAGTAATATAAAATAGGAATTTTCAGATTTCCATTTTTCCAAAGATTATTGTTTAATGTGGCACAAAGAAACCATCGTGCTCTTTATAAATATGATTTTTTACATGTCGTCTAATACAAATAGATCAGAATTCCAAACACTGAGGGCACATCTAAACTACAAAGATTTTTTGAACGAGGATCTTTCTGATTGCAGGAGGGGGAGGAAGAGGACATGGCCTCTGTCACACTGTCCTTGGAGCCGGTAGCTGCGATCTAGGACGTGTCCCAGGCATCGTTTGATGCTGGGGAGGGTTCTTCACGTGAGAGCTCTCAGTTTGTCACACAAACAGGGCAGGGGAGGCAGGCGCAGAGGGGGCGGGGTATGAGCATCGCTCGTCCTGCTCGGGCTGGACATTGTGCTGTAGTTTGTGCACGTGGAACCATGTGCAGCGTTATTGTGTGCCATGCAGACTCTGTAGGCAGCCCCTGAGCCCAGGCTCCTGCTCCCAGGTTCAGGGAAGGCCACACACACATCTGGCCCTGGGATGGGGGCATGCCATGGGGACACCACCTGCCACGGCTAGAAGCAGGGTAGTCCCAAGAGTGCAGGCATGACCCCAGACACACCAAGGAGTGTCTCACACAGCACACGGGCATGTCTGCATGTGCAAGGCACTACCTGCTCCTGTGGACAGTGCTGCGAGGTGCAGGTGTGTGTGCAGGCCCCAGGGAGGGCCAGGATGTTCCTGGCTCCTCTGCCGCCCATGGGATCCCACTGTGTCCGGACACTTCCCGTGCCTGCTTGTCCATGGTGGGGAGAAGTGGGCAGCATGATTCCCTGGGCACCTCGTGGCCCCTGTGAGGAAGGGCCTGCCGTGCAGGCCATATATGGCCTTGCTCCAGGGACAGCCCTTGTCCTCTGGCCCAAGGACTGTTGGTCACTGCTCACAGAGGAGGTCACAGCCTCAAGCACTGTGTCTGCTTGGATAACTGACTGCCTCTTGCTCCTTGTTTTCTCCCCAGCTGGGGCTGACGGGCGAGCCACACCACTCAAGCCAGCCGCCCGACCCCAGGGGACTGAAGTGCTCTATGGACCAGGAGGAGCTTATGAGGCAGCATGTGGCCATCCTGCATGACATGCAGCAGACCCTGGCGCAGAAGATCTGGGAGGACGCAGAGTAGCGGACCCACATGTGGGGCCAGCTCGTGTGGCAGGGTGACAACGTGTGCCATCATGCAGGAAATGGCAGCACACCCAGCTGCTGTCACTGCTCCTGCCTACTACCCTTCTGCCCCCCGTTATGCTCATTCCCCCTGTCCCTGTCCCACAAGTGATACTCATGCCCTCTCCCCAAGTGATGCCCATGTCCCCTTCCCCTGCCATCCCTGATCCCCCTGCCATCCCTGATCCCAGTGTCCCGCCTCCTGATTATCCCCCTCTGGTCCCAGGACCCACCCAACCCCAAGTTCACCGAGGTCCCCACACCCAAGGTGAGGCAGCCAGCAGCCCCCCATCCCCCCCCCGACCTGAGCCCCCCTCCCAGTTAGGAGCCCCCTCCCCTTTTCCAGCTTTTTTAAATGAAAGATCAATACAGAGTTCATTTTGTTCAAAATCAAACAGGTGTCTTTATTGAGAGGCCAGGGAAGGGGCGAAGGGAGGGGTTGTGGTGGAAAAGGGATATTGGAGCAAGCTAGATGCCCCTAGGGGGGAAGCCCTGGGGAGAGTTACTGGGGTCCTTGAGAGAAACTCTCCCTCAGGGCCTTCTGGATGTGCCTGATGAACCTGGAGGATGGCAGCTGTCCACGGCTGATGAAAGTGTCTCCCCTCACAGCTGGTCTCTGACCCCCTACCCAGGAGGAAGGCCTCGCCCTTCCTCTCCACTATGTTGTGGAGAACACAACACACCTAGGGGATGTTGTGCTCTCCCACTTCAAAACATGCCTTAAGGCACCCGAAGGTGCACTTGACCTGAATCCTGGCCCGGTTGAGGTGGGCATTAAATTGGTCCCTGCCAGGGTCCAGGTGACCAGTAAAAGTCTTCATTATCCACAGCATCAGGGGGTAGACCACATCCCCCACGATGCAGAGTGGCATCTACACATCCCCAACCACTAAGTCATGGTAGGGGAGAATGTGCATGCCTCCAGCTTGCCATAGATGCTCAAGTTCCTAAATACGCAGGCGTCTTGTGCCCTGCCTGACCCTGTACTGTACAGAATTTATTTTAATTTATAATAGCAAAATTCTGCTTTCATTTACACTACCGCAAATCTGGAATAACTCCACTGTTGTTGGATTCACTCTAGATTTACACTGATAATTGAAAATAGAATATAGCTTTTTTCTTCCCTTGTCTCTTCCGGTTTACCACAAGAGAAAAGGCAAATTCTCTTTCATCTCATCATTATTTCTTAGCTTGTTACTTTCTATCTTTTCCTTCTGAAAGCTGCTGATATGGTGCTTTTTAAAAAAAAAAAAAAAAAAAAAAAAAAAAAAAAAAGTGACACCAAAAAAAAAAACCATCTGTGGGAAAGACTATTGGAATTCCTGACTTTTTATGTTTGCGATATTACAGCTTTAAACTCTAATAACTTTTGTTCTGGTAAAATTTGCTTCTTCCTAAGCTAGTCCTAATTCCACTCAAAATTGCAGCCAGCATGAGAACATTGCAAGAGAAATAAAGTTAGCAGCAGCCAGTCTCCTAGGATACAGATCTCTACCAGGTCTGCCAATGGGACAGGGTCAAAAGGGAAATTTCCCCAGGGCCCAGTAATTGAAAGGCACCTGGTCTCCTGGGGTGTGTCTAGACTACATGCCTCCTTCGACGGAGGCATGTAGATTAGCCAGATCGGCAGAGGGAAATGAAGCCGCGATTAAAATAATCGCAGGGGGCGGGCCCCAGCCATTTAAATTTAAATGAAGCCGCGATTATTTTAATCGCGGCTTCATTTCCCTTTTCCGATCTGGCTAATCTACATGCCTCCGTCGAAGGAGGCATGTAGTCTAGACACACCCCTGGTCACTGCCACCACAGCTTCTAGAGCCCCAGGTCCTTTAAATTGCCACCAGAGTACCACACACTCTGTGCAGTTCTGAGGGTTGGAGGGGATATGCTGTGCTCTGGGCAGCGCTGTGGGCCCTTCCGTCAAAAGCCCTGCCCTTCCTGGCTAATCTACATGCCTCCGTCGAAGGAGGCATGTAGTCTAGACACACCCCTGGTCACTGCCACCACAGCTTCTAGAGCCCCAGGTCCTTTAAATTGCCACCAGAGTACCACACACTCTGTGCAGTTCTGAGGGTTGGAGGGGATATGCTGTGCTCTGGGCAGCGCTGTGGGCCCTTCCGTCAAAAGCCCTGCCCTTCGAGGAGCAGACCCAGCCCTCTCTCACCTTGCCCAGGAGTCCATAGAGGCAGTTTGTTCCCCTGGTCTTCATGTTTAACTCGCGGACACAGATGCAAGCACAAAATATAATGGGTGTAATGGTGAGGGAATCGGAGGTGTTTGGACTTGGAAATTGAGGGGCAGAGGCAACAAGCTAGTTTCATAGAAAAGCTTATTCTACCTTCTCAAAGCCCCCATAATAACTCACAGCCTTCTACACCATAAAGGTATGTGTGTGAGTATCATGCATCTTTTACATATGTGTATATTCAGTGATTTACACTCTCATTGTTTTGTGCTCTTTATTCTCTCCTTATGTGTTTTTCCCCCACCTCCTTGTGTTGTCTCTTCTTCATTCCTTGTGTTGTGTTTCCCTTTCGCCATCTTTTGAGTCCAGTCAGTATCCTTCCAAGTAGTACCTTTTCCCTTTCCATTGGGAAAGTTGCTAGAGGATGTCCTCTTCTTTCACTCATAAGTCGCAGTCTTGTGGGGATGTGAGGGAGGGGATCTTCTTCCCGGTCCCTGTGAGTATAAGTATAACCAGGCAGGTGGGAAATTTGGTTTCTCTCTCTGGTTTCCCCTGTTGAATCTGGATGGTGCTGCCTCTTCTCTACCTATCATCTTGTAAGCATATCTTATCCTTACTCATCATTTAGTAATAGACTCAGCAGAAGATGGAAGCAAGAATGCTGAACCTGCTGCTGCTGGAATTCATACCCATTTGCCTCCTCTCCAATACAAGCTCAAAGTTGGGTGAGAAAAGAGGTGTTGTGAAGTCTCACATAATGTTACTTTTGGGCCCTGCTGCAGACGGTCTTGCAATGATATGAAAAGATAAGTGTGGCCTTCATGAATTTTTTGGAAGTAAAATCAGAGAGAAAACACTCTCAACCATCCTCAAAATAGTAGAAACTTTAACTGAGAGCCTATAAACCGTGAGCTCTTCTACTGACAGCCGGTACACTTAACCACTCTTATTACAAGACATTTCATTCTTTTTCTAGTAACCGTCGTACACCTATTTCACAGATAAGATAAAAAAGAACTTGCATAAAATCACATTAGACAGAGCTTGGAAGAGAACTGAGATCTTTAATATAATAGAATTTAATCTTTTCTGCTTTGCCACAGTCTTTTGAAAAGAATGTGTGAATGTGGGTGATAGTTTAACTCTTTCTAAGGCAGTGTGACTGTGGAGCACTGTCTGCCTAGACCACATGTCGAGGTTTATAACTCTGCTACTGCTTTTATACTGAGAAACCTTGTTCTCTATCTGCATTGGTAAACCACTCATTCTTTTATATGCAGACAGAATTGAAGAATTACTATTACTTTATTCTCAATTGAAATTTACTGGAAAAAAAGTAAAGAATACATTGATTATTATATTACCATTTTACAAAAGATCATAGGCTCAAATTTGCTTTACCTAATGGCAAAAGATATATATGACCAGGTTTGGGTCTAATTTACACTAAAGATAATAATGATTCATTTAGTCCATGGTAGACACAGTGGCCAAAGGGGCAAATGTGATCTAGAGATGCATAAACAAGAGAAGCTTGAGCAGGAGTAAAAAGTTTATTTTACATCTGTATTTGGCCCTGGTGTAGCTGCTACTAGAATACTCTGTCCAGTACTGGTGCCCACAGTTCAATAAGAATGTTGATTGTTGTTGGTTCAAAGAGGAGCTACGATAATGACAAGATGAGAAAACATGCTTTATGTTGCTATATCCTGGAGTTCAGTCTATTTAGCTTAATAAAGTGAAGGTTGAGTCTCAACAGACTAACCAGACAGCACAGTTGTCACATTTAGACATACTGTCTGTAACCACTAAAATACAATCTGCTCCCATGCCAGGAGAAGAATCCTAGTGCTCAGGGTTCCACTGCAGTCTTACAAATACTTTTGAAACTCACTAACATTGTGGCTAAGTCTAGACTGGCATGATTTTCTGCAAATGCTTTTAACGGAAAAGTTTTCCATTAAAACCATTTTCGGAAAAGAGCATCTAGATTGGCACAGATGCTTTTCTGCAAAAGCACTTTTTGCGGAAAAGAGTCTGTGCCAATCTAGATGCGCTTTTCCGCAAAAAAGCCCCGATTGCCATTTTCGCGATCGGGGATTTTTTGCGGAAAACAAATCTCAGCTGTCTACACTAGCCCTTTTGTGCAAAAGTTTTGCGCAAAAGGGACTTTTGCCCGAATGGAAGCAGCATAGTGTTTCCGCAAAAAGCACTGATTTCTTACAGTAGGAAGTCAGTGCTTTTGCGGAAATTCAAGCGGCCAGTGTAGACAGCTGGCAAGTTTTTCCGGAAAAGCGGCTGATTTTCTGGAAAAACTGGCCAGTCTAGACACAGCCTGTATGTATTGTAGGAGGTAATTCCGATATCAGATAACAATATGCCTTCACTCTCTATGGTCTCTCTTCTTGGTGGAACTGATGAAGGTTTTATTAAAGACCTAAATTTTGTGACTTCAAATCTTTCTGATGAGAAAAGATTAGAGTAAAACACATAGACTGCGTCTAGACTGGCATGATTTTGCACAAATACTTTTAATGGAAAAGTTTTTCCGTTAAAAGTATTTGCGCAAGAGAGTGTCTATACTGGCATGTGCCTTTGCGCAAAAGATTTTTTTGCTTTCTTGCGCAATAAATTCACTTGGCTGTCTACACTGGCCCTCTTGCGCAAGAATACTTGCGCAAGAGGGCTTATCCCTGAGTGGGAGTGTCGGAGTATTTGCGCAAGAACCACTGATTTTGTGCAGTACAAAGTTAGTGTTCTTGCACAAATACTCGCGGCCAGTGTAGACAAGCAGCAAAATTTTGCACAAAATCTTGCCAATCTAGATGCACCCATATTGTATACAAATTAGTGTAATCAGAAGTAGAGCTAAAATACAATTTGATCTTTTTAAATCTCATGATATTTGTGCCAACTTGATGGTGTTTTGGGGTCTGACTCATGACTTTTGAACTTTTTGAACACTTTGGAACACTGACTGCTTTTATTGTCTGTCCCTGTCTGAAAACTGGGAGTGAGGTATGACCCCTGTCTCCTATTTTTTGTCACACTTCCAAGCACAGATAAATTAAAGACTGATCTACCCTTTGAGAACATGTTCACATGAACTGTTAATTTCACCCTTTGAACATCTGTTTGTGGGTTTAGCCA